CATGAAATGGTAGCCTGACATGCTACCCTGCCATGCTAAGGTCGCATGCAAGGGTCACATATTTTCCTGGAGGGACCAATTTCGCCAACTTTCGATTCCGAGCAGTTTTTTTCATTCTCTTGGTATAAAATGAGTTTCGATCCGTCATTTAAGCAAGGTTCGACCAAAGATCACTAGAGTGACACAAATGGAGCGATTGGAAGCATCAAGCATCGATTTCTACTCCGTTTTGGTAATTTCTTTTTGATTTTAAGTTATAAAGCTTAGTTTAGCCACATGTAGTTAAGTTTTTCCATTCCAAGAGTGGTTTTTCTTTAAATTATGTTGCATTTACTTTGAGATTTTGTTGTAATCTTGTGGAACAAGTTTATTTGCGTGAATTCCGTTTGAATGTCAATTTCATTGAACTTGATAAATTGATTAATATTCTTATCAATTGAGGTGCTTGCTCTTGATTAATATTCCCCGAAATGGATTCCCCTTGATCTAGATGAATTTCTGTCTGAATCATTCTACCTTGGGCCTGACTCTCCCTCGGCCTCTGCCCCTGGTTCTTCCCCTGCCCTGACTTTTAGAAACATTAATCGGAGCATTATCAAGGGATTCCTCTCTTTCTTCTAGATTGGGGGGGAGGGGCTTGATCCTTTCAGATCTTCTTGATCAACTTGCCATCTGCAGATATTTTAATATTAAATATCACGTATTCACATTCCCAAATATAATAAGGTATCCGAGTACATATATGTAACTGTAAATTCATAATTACATTGGTCATTGGTCATTTGTAATTCGAATTTACCTTACATACTGCCATCTTTAACCCATTATATTTATTCCTAGTGGTACTATCTATGTTTGGGACCCCTTAATATGCAAATAACAGTTTAACTTTAGGCATCATGCTTTGAATACCTAAATCCCTTAAACTCAGACTCTGATACCACCTTTTGTAACACCCTAACTTCATATCTGCATAAAACATGTACTTCATATAAAGGAAATACAATTTACACCACAAAGGTCTCATTAGTACAAGGATTCAATATATACAGAATTTACAACTGAAAAATTCCAAAAGAATATCTCTGCACTATCACATGTATGTCAACATGTATCTTCAAAATATAACAGGCAACAAGATGATCTTCAATAGGCAGTTAAACACATAAGGAAAATAATCATATTTTCCCCTTCCCCTTAATATCCGAGACCCCGCTGTTCCTGCAATGCACATTCTCAAAATACAAAATATGGGTTAGACCAGAAGGTCTAATGACAAAATCCTTTCTTCGTAATTATAAGGTGAAGATCACCAAATCCTGTTTAAAACATCTTTTGCAAATAAATAAAATAAATTTCAGCAAAAGAATGCAAATCTGATTGTTACTCAAATAAAAAACAAGCAGATTCTCATAACACATAAACACATTCCCCGAAATCTGCATCTCTTAACAGAAGACCAAGTCATAAAATTCCTCTAGCTTAATGGACCAGAGCTCCTCTGGCTCAACGGGCTAGAGCTCCTTTGTCCCTTAAGGAACAAAGCTCTTCTCTTAAACCATTCCCTCTAGTTGATCAGAGCTTCTGTTCTCATCATCCAGAGCCTCTGTACTCATCCAAAATAAAACAACTCTAAACTCAACCAGAGACTCTCTAGACAACCAGAGCCTTTGATTCAAAAGACTAACGTTTGATTTTTAAGGAAAAGAGAATAAAACTATAACCAAAGTTCTTCTGGTTCTTTACATTGTTTAAGAAATATTTAAAATGATTGATTTCTAAAGATTGTTTTAAAAGACAAAACTCAGATACAGAGCTCAGACATAGAGCTTGACCATAGAAATGCATGTATACCACTCTATGATACAGAGCCTCTAAATAGTACATATAGAGCCTCTGAATCAAAAACATTTTAAAAGATTTTCACACAACCAGAGGTCCTCTGGTCCTTCTTAAAGACCAACAAGAGCTCCTCTGTGTCTTGTATCCATAGGTACATATCGCCTTGATATGACACCCTTATTTCCACCTTAAAACATGGTTTCAAATCAGAACAGACTTACGTCACACATGTTCTGAAGAAAACCTAGTTCCATCGCAGAACATACTTACGTCACACACGTTCTGAAGGAACCTAGTTCCATAGCATAATAGACTTACGTCACATACGTTCTGAATGAACATTTAAAACATAGTTTCATACCAGAACAAACTTATGTCACACACGTCCTGGAGAAACATTTAAACATAATTTCATGCAAGAACATACTTATGTCACACACGTCTTGGAGAAACATTAGAATCTCTTTCCCAGTTCACAAAAATATATAAAATACCCATTTTCATAATATAAAAATAGTTTAAAACTAATTAAACAGTAATTGTGAAATCCCATCATTAAATAAATCGAAGTTTTGGGTCAAATCCCTTCATCAATCAACTTTATCCGGACAAGATTATCCGGGTAAGCTTATCCGGACAACATATATCCGGACGACCCTAGCCGGACATTCCTATCCGGACAATACTTAAAAAGAATCAAACAGGCACATTGATCACACCATGTCCAAATACATCCTCATCGGACAACACAGTGCTTGGTTAAAGTTCTCACCAGATAATACTTAAAAGTTTAAAATATATAACTCAACTCTTCTGGGCGATGAATATATGTCCGGACAACACATTGTCCGGTAAAGGGTCCTTATCGGACAGGGCTATGTCCGATAAGAGACCTCTCGGTCAACACTATAAAGTCTCCAGACTCTTCACCAGCCAAAGCTTAGTTGGTGAGGAGCCCTCATCTGACAATACTTGTCCGATTAAAAACTCTCATCGGCCAATGAATGTATCAAGAACCCAAACTAAAAATTCGTACAATAGTAGCATAAATTATGCATAATCAGTAGTAAAATAGGTTCAAAGATGTTTTTGTATGTAATAAAACTCACCTTAGATTTGAGTTTTAATAGAAGAAGGAAAACAATAGATTAAATCAACTTCTCTTGATTCTCAACATCGATTTCCAAAAACAGCAAAAAACTCACTTCAGTTTAAAACTTTCACACTCAATTTTCTCAAAAAATGTCAGGAACTCTTTTCTTGCCAAACTCCTTTGTTTAAATACCTTTCCTTAAATAGAAAGGCGGTTTGAAGAAGAAATATAAAACACATATTTTCTTTACACATAAACCAACACCCATGCATGTAAACCATGCATACTCACATGCATATCAAATGTGTATTTTTATATATATATATATATATATATATATATTTATATACACTCCATGCATGCATGCACATATAATATACCAACCCATGCATTCTCATATCCACATAGATAAATCACATACTCATATAAACATGTATTAATATGATCAAATATTGCAATTTATCAGATATTCATGTAATCACATAATCAGGTAATCACATAATAATTATCTCAGGTGCATAACCAGAACCCAGTTATCACATGAACCTAGTTGATTCACTGCATACAAAAGGTCCTAAACTACATAAGTATGATCATGTGCTATCACAAGATTTATATTAATGATCCATCAATAATGTAAATACTCTTAATTCTCTTGTAAGTCTTTTGTTGAATTAAAGTCATTTAACATAGGTTGGCTTTCACCTCTTGCTTTCTAGAGTTGTTTTTTTTTTAAAGGTTTTTCAATACTTAGGGGATATTATTAGCCTAACTATCTTTGATGTAAAAATATTGTAAAAAGAAACCAAGTCTTATGAACCAGAAGACCCTCTCTAAAAGCTCAGTTGAACCGGAGCCGAAAATAGCGACCACACAACATACAGAGCACTCTCAACTAGAAGACGATTCCAGAGAGGCAGAGTCTCTAGCCGTCTCTGTCCCAAAGTTCAGTGTTCAACCTTCAAATTCTCTCCAAGTATCGTTTACCTATAATAGCCTGACAACTCAGCATAAAGCAGTTATTGCACCTTTACACGTAGGATTCACTCGTTGCAAGATGCTTTGACTTTCTTTATTTTCGGCTATAAATAGTAGGTTTTCTTAGAGTTTTTCATGAGATTCTAGTACATTTATTAGATTTGTATAAGAATATTTTCATTTTCTACAAATTTATTTACGTTAATATATACATATTTCTATTTATGATTGATTACTCCTAACAAGTGTAAGAGACTCAATCTATAACGAAAATGAAACCACAAGTACCGTTCCACTAAAAAAAGGAGGGACCCAATCCATAATATTCATGTTCAAGTTCGAATCTTGCGGAACATCGGTTCGAACTCCTTCGCTGACGTCAGCTCTGAAATGCCTCGTCACATGTGATTTATAAGGGACAGTTTCTGTACGAAGCCAGTCGAAAATGTCAATTAAATGATTTTCATACATCAACAGAAAAGATACATGTAATTTGCTCTTTTATGTATTAATCTTATTTGACCTCATTATCCTCTTAACACACCCCATTTGTTGATGATTATAATCTATTTAATTAAAAAAAAAATCTGATATCTATTTTACTTTAACATTTTAACAAGCCATCAACATGCCATGTTGGCATTATAACGAGACAAGTCGTATACCCGGTCAGGGTGATGACTCATACCATGATAAGTGCTTACCTGGTACATTGTTGCATACAATATTTGATGGACTAAAATCTTACCCGGTAAGTAAATGATAGTGTTAAATTTCACCGGTAAGCGCTTACCGGGTACATTGTTGAATACAATACTGTTTTGGTGGACTAAAATCTTACCCGATAAGTAAATGATAGTGTTAAATTTTACCCGTAAGCGCTTACCGGATAAATGTTTGATAAACGGCCCCTAAAATACGACAATGTCACTGTGTATTTTAACACAACCATAACAATTTAAGTCCCTCTCAATGTCTCCGAAGATTTGTCTCGCTATCAACTTGAGGATCGAGGTGTGTGCAAACAACTACGGTTATCAAAACTTTGCAACGTAAACATGCAATCTTTGCGAAGAATTCCAAGTTATTGAGCAAGAACACTGCAGTAGAATTAGATTTCGAAGAGCTTTACAAGGATACATCAGAGTTATATAGCAACTAAAAGAAATCCCAGATAACTAAGGGGACTAGAGACAACCTGTGTGGCAAACTACACTTGGTTTCTGCCAAGATGATGATGATAATAATAATAAAAGAAGATTTGTTTTTGTTTGGGATGACGATCCATAGTACTAAATCTCGACAAAGTATACACAACATCGAAACAAGAATCTCATAGCAAAAACAGCTTCCGGTGCAAATGCTCTTCAGTTGAACCTGTATGTGTATGTGTGTGGCCCTCGTGATCGTGGAAGATAAGTGTCAAGATTCCGACTAAGCAGAGCACGGAGCCAACAAGAAGCTTGTCATAACGTTCCATCCAGTGAAACTTGAGCTGGCTTGCACCGTAAAATGATAAAGCCACCAACGAGGTCATCACAGTTATCGTGCTGCGAATAAGAAACCATCCCTTTTGTCAGTGGGAAATTACTTCCTATATAAACCAACATAAACAAACCCGGTATATATGCCACACAACTGTAGGGTCTGACAGAGGGTAAAATGTAGGCAGACCCTGTCAGATTTCTTAAAATGCATGACCTTCTTGACAGATTTTGAAGCATTCTTAAGTAGAGGTGTTCTTAAATCCATCAGAAGTTATGCATTTAAAAGAAGTATGTTGGAATGTTTTTTATGGACAATTTTGAAACAAATACTCCCTCCATCCTGAAACAAATGTCTACATCGAAAAAGACAAAAAAGACAGTTTTAGAAACACATAAATAATGCACTTTTAATTAGCTAAATCACAATTTCACTCTAATAATAGACGGAGTAATAAATTTCTCCATCTCATAATTAAGGGTAGAACTGTAAAGTAAACCCTCACATTTGAAAGTGGACACCTGGACAAACTAAAATAGAACTACGTACACTTACTTTAGGATGGAGGGATTATTTGCCAACACTAAAATAGCAAGTAAGACTAACGAAAGTATCATAAAAAGTAACACAATTAAACCAGCTTTAGGGGTTCAACCCTCAAGTCTAAAGGGACCATTAAGTTCACCTGAATAGCAGCACTATAATAGCAAGTACCATCATTGAGGAGGAATTTCCTACGGCAAGAAACACGGGGAGTGTGGTTGCACAAGGAGACAATGCAGGAACAAGAACAAGTCCGGCAACAGCCATCTTTTCCATGGGTTGGTTGTGGGAATGGGTGTGACCACCCTTTCCACACATGAACAATAATATATAGCTACCACCAAGTAGAACAAGCAGCAGTGATGCAAGTTTGTGCACAGTTTCTTCACCAGCAATTGTGTTTGATATGGTAATTGCAGTAATGCCCAGGAGCGATGTGGATAACACGTGCAAAACAGCTCCAAATGCAGCTGTGAAAGAACATAGTAAATCCAGAATAAGCAATGAATCATTATGTAAAATACAACTGAAATGTAAGCACTTTCAACATTGGATATCCACAAGAATTGTAATGTTTCTATATATGGAAGGTTTTCAAGATAAAGTTCCTTATTTTTCCATTATCATCTTTATAGAAAAATGGCCATATTGACTTGGGTAAACAAAAATGTTCCTCTCTTTTTTCTTCTTCTTCTATTAGGGGTATTCTAATCACTCTTTTAGAAACATGGGTCTTTAATGAGTACTAGTCAAACAGTTCTCTCAAACTATGTGCTTCAAAACTGTTAAAAGTTTCATGGGATGGAGAGAGCATTTTCTTCATTATAGCTTTAAAGTCTACTAATACAACATAATAATGACTAAATTTAGCAAAAAAGAAAAGTACAAATGTAAAAAAGATGCATGTTAACGTCAAAGATTAGCCGATTCTTGAGAACTTGGATCCAAATCACCCAACCTAGTTTTTCATAAAGATAAGTGACCACTTGATTTGACTATACTCAGCTTTATAGCTCGCCAAGATAAGCAGACTTGTCCAGTTGACTTTGCAGTTGCAGGACGAGGATGGCCCACTGATTATTCTAACCAACTAGCATAAGTAAGCAGAAATGGCTAAGAAAAACTATTGAGTTTACTGTGCACTGATTAAGATTTGCATATCCTTCTTTCAGAAAAAAGATTTGCATTTCCTAGATGTGGGAGCAACAGAAGACTGCAAAAATGGATCTGAGTAGAAAAAACATGCAGTTTATTTTCAATTCAGGGAACATGTCCAGTACCACAAACCAAATGATAGCGCATTCATGAAAACAACACCTTTACCCCCCTATAATTAACTATATAGCACACTTAAACCTATTAACTTTTCCAGAAAAGATTATCAAAGAGGTCAGAAAGGTATGGTGACTGACAGTGATGAGGAAATTGAGTCAGCGTGAGCCACTACCAATTAACGAATGCTGTTAAAAGGCGGACAAACTGTAGAAATACACACATAATAACCACACCAATGTTAAGAAAAGATGGTCCCTTTGCGGGAGTCCTTCATTATGATCAATTATCTTAAGTTGGGAACTTGTGTTAGTCTTGACTAACCAAGGCGACGACAAATGATGGTTTAAGGCACCTAAGGAGCAGCCTAACACAACAAATGAGACTCGCTCTTTAGGCAAACATGTTCCCAGAGGCAATCTGAGAAGATAAATTAATTACAATATTAAGATTGTGCACCTATGTCTGGTTGAACATCGCTTACTGGCGAAAAAATTGGTAAGTTTCCTTGTAAATATATATCACTTCGGTACAAAATGAAAAAAAAGTTGTCGGGTCCATCAAACTAGCCAAGATACCAGCATTAGTTCTTGGCTACCTATAAGTCACCAAAGCTCATCAGAATTAACGCTTTTACTCTCACATTTAGTTTCATCAGGGTGAGGGATAGGATGCTTTTATAGGGATCTCAAACTCAAATGTTACTGTGAAGGCCTTATTCCCACTTATGTAGATCGACATCTTACCAAATTCCCACTTTACTTGATTTTTTCATCCATATCTCCATAACATGACATATTGGTCTTCTACCCTTCCATCCCTTTTCTCTAGTAAGCCCTTGTTCACTTGAGTCAAATCCTACATTTCGACCATGGTCATGGACTTCCCACTTCTTTATAAGCATCAACCATTTTTTTTTTTTTGGGGGGGGGGGGGGAGTTGATTAGTCAGTTGTTTTACTTGATTGTCGCTCTCAATTAGTCCCCTAATCCAACCATCTCCCTTGCATTTCCTACTGTACAGAAAACTAAGGGTCCGTTTGGTTTGATGGGATGGTTTTAAGGAATTTGAAATCTGAGAGATTTGGATTTGAAAGAATTTAGAATCCTTGGTGTGATTGGTTTGTAGGATTTGAAATGGAATTGAATTCCATTCTTTACAAATAATTTATAGAAACAAATTATAAATAATTAAACTACCTTTTTATTAATTGATTAATACAAAACAAATGTTTATAACAAATCCCGTGAAATACCAACCACCCTCGTGGGATTTCAAAATCATATGTTTGTAGGATTTCAATGTAATCCTGGGATTTCGAATCTAGGAAATCCTTCAAATCAAACATGGGATTGAAATGGAATTCAATTCCAAATCTCTCAACATCCAATCCAATCCTACAAACCAAAAGGGACCTAACATCCTTGTTTCTCAAGGAGATATAAGTGGTCTCTCCTTCTAAGGCTGAACACTGCTGAATCTACCGCAAGCAAACACAGAAGACTGATCGTGGAGATTGTTTTATTGTGAAAAAAATGTGATAATCATGAGCCTTTTTATCCGATACCAATGTCCCATTTAACTTTAGAAGTAGAAACAGTTGATTGGGCGCGTTATAGCAGCAAAATAGCGGATAGCAATCCTGGCCAAAATAACGGTGCATGAATAGCGGTGTATTATAGAGGTACCGCAAATAGCGGCCGCTATTACTGCTATTGACTGCAATTTTCATACCAAATAGCGGTCGCTATTACCGGTTTTCCTTTTTGGGCTCTTTTGGACTCCTTTTATTCTGTCATTTATGTGGGCTATTAAGTCAAACTTAGCCTGCAAACAAAAAGGAAACCGATTAAATCAACAATAGAAACAATTAGGTCAAACTTTGGTATTGGTTCCAAGTCCAATGCTCTGCTCATTGATTCCAAGTCCAAAAAGCTTCAACAGCTCGAGTTTTCTTCTCGATTCCGCTGTTCCACGGGTTTTATGCTCTAGTTCTCTTCTCATCTCGACAGCCCAGCTCGTATTACTATGTTGCTTGTGTGGTTTGAACTGTTTGACTTGATAAGTATTAGACGTAAAATATTTTGAGTTTTATATATATTCGTATTTATTTTATGAACATAACTTTTTTACCGCTATATCACCGCGGTAACCGCTATTTCAAATCAAGGTCCCGACCGCTATTTCCGCACGCGTTAACTGCTGATCAACCAACAATGGTAATTTACTGATTACTCTCAGAGTGATTCAAATGATAATAGCACCCCAAAAAATTTGAGAAGTTGATATTCTCCCAAATTTGGCAAAGGCCGAATGGTCTAAAGAGATGCTCTCCTCACCCTAGCAGGAAAATATTTATACTACTACCCACCTTGGTTTAAAAATGCATGCATAATGCGCTCCGATGAGCTAGAGGTAACGCATCAGAGGGGCTGATGCGAAGCGATTCCATGATGCTCTCAGATGCGGTCACATCACCTATGCATCACACGATGCGTGCATCAGCGCATCCTGTATGTTTCATGTTTGGGCTCCTTTTTCATTCTTTAGAGGTTTTTAGTTGGGCTTTTTGTAGTCAAAGTAGAACGTAATTGCCGTTTAGCCTAGTGGTAAAGGCTTGGGCATGGCATAGTCATGAACCCAAGTTCGAGCCCTGGGAGGGGAGTGTTGGCGACATTTAAGTGAGGCCATGTTTAGCCTCCAAAATTGCCGGGGATTAGTCGGGCTTTGGCCCGGACACCCTTACAAAAAAAAGTAGAACGTAATAATGACCTAATAAAATAGAAGCCCCTCTCAAGTCTCAAGTCGCATATCAGATTAAGAACATATACGTGAGTCGTGACCTAATAGAATAGAAGCAGTAGTTTGTGTGTTTTGTTATTCCGATTCATGAACTTTTTAAGATTCTAATGCCACTTTTTGAACTACTTTATGTTATAAATGAAGTATTTTGATAGGTAAGTATTTTTAAGGTAGAAATTGATATGCAGAATTAATTTATAAGTATTTTTTGAATACCCGCATCACGCATCGGCTTCCAGCACCCTTACCGCCTCGGACTGCACCGCGCTTTTAAAAACCAAGCTACCCACAGAAAATAACTAAATAGATTCCCATGTGGTCCCTCCAAAACAGAGAACAATACGACAAATAATGAAAAGAGAAATACCCACGATACCCTTGCAAGCCAATACTTATTTCAACTACTACCGCCAAACTATTTTTGGTTTATTCGGGCATAGGTGAATCTGATGGGGGGTTTATAAATACCTAGCCCAAAAAATTTCACCTTGTCTTCAAGGTGAAGGTCAGGGAATTGCTTGAGAATGTGATCGTACTCTTCCTAAGAAGCTTCAAACTCTGGTAAACCACTTCACTAGTACTTCAAGTTGGCCATCCGCGGTATTGTTCACACGACCGTACATCCAACATATCATAAGGTTCAACCACCATTTCCATGTTTGTAGTAAGTTGTGGGGGTATCACTAGAGATGAAGCAAGAGATCCAATAGCTCTCTATAGTTGAGATAGATGGAAAACTAGATGGATGCTGGTGGAAGGAGGCAACTCCAATTTATAGGCCACTTGACCAATCTTAGCAATGACCTTGTTAGGTCCATAGAATCTGGAGCCAGCTTCATATTACGACCCTGCACAAAGAGGACAAAGTTTCAGAAACACCAGATGACCTACCGCGAATTCCACGTCTTTCCTTCCTAGATCAGCATGCTGCTTCACTTGATGTTGAGCTTGTAGTAGGTGTATCTTGGTTGTATTCAAGATGTCATCTCTTTCTTGAAGAACTTCATCAATAGACTGGAATCAGTATCCCCCTTCTTGAATTGCAAGAAGGCAGGACGTTTGCGGCCATATAGGACCTTGAACGGGAACACTTTAAACTAGTGTGGTAAGAAGTGTTGTACTAGTATTCAGCCCACTAGATCTACCCAGCCTACTGCTTAGGACGCTCCGACATCATACACTGCAGATATTGTTCTATACAGCAAAAGACGACTTCTGTTTGTCCATCGATTTACGGATGGTACGCAGAACTATTGGACAGCCTTGTCCCTAGAAGTGAAAATTTTCTTTCCATAATTCACTTAGAAACAACTTGCCACGATTTGTGATTATGGATACCGGTACACAGTGGAGCCTAATAATTTCCCTTACAAATAGGGTTGCCATTGATTAAGCA